ACCCAAATGTTCACATGGATGTCAAAATTTGAGGATTTTAGCTAATAGTTTCTCAGATATACGAAATTTTCTATTTAATTTATATGGGGAGGGGGGAGTCGGGTTGGATGTTTCAAGCCCCCCTAATGAAAGTCCAAAATGTTCAGATAAATATTAAAGTTCTTCGTGCAAAATTTTAAGAAGCTAGCTCTATTAACCTCCCTGATATACGAATTTTTGTATATTTTATTTATATGGGAGGAGCATCGCCCCCATTGGTAGTCCGCCAATTTATTACCCAAAATATTTACATGGATGTTAAAGTTCTTCGTGTAAAATTTTAAGATTTTAACTCTAATAGTTTCCCAGATAGGCGAGTTTTTGTATTTAATTCATATGGGAGGTGCCACGCCCCTAACTCCTAGTCCGCACCCTTTTTCCTTAAATAATCATATTGACACTAAAGTATTCCGACAAAAGTTGAAGACTCTATCTGTTATATTTTCTCAGATATACTTATTTAATATTTTCTTCATATGGACGGTGCCACGCCCACTATAGCCATTCCGCCCATTTTGTCCGAAAATAATCTTATGAATGTCAAAGATGTCCATACAAAATTTGAAGACTTTAACTGTTGTACTTTCTGAGATATGCGACTTTTAATACTAAGTTTGTATGTGGGCGTGGCACCCCTCTCTCTTGAAATTTCGAAATAGTTCCTCCCAGTCATACAGTAAGACACTGTGAAAATTTCAAGAAAATCGGGTCAGCCAAAAACGAATCAGCTGATTCATCACGGAACGGAACGTAGATACTAACTGAGCCTTTAAGTACATTATAGTTTGTCACATACGTTTTAAGTCTCAGTTAGTCTCTACGTTCCGTTCCGTGATGAATCAGCTGATTCGTTTTTGGCTTACGAAAACCTGTGTAAGTCGTTAGTTTTGCCGTAACGTTGAAGTTACGTTGCGGATGAACCTATAGAATTTAATCCGCAACGATAAGTGACAGCTATAAACAGCTGACATAAAATACAAAAAAAAAAAAATTAACAGGAAAAAACAGTGATGTTAAAGTTTTAAAAATTATGTACATCAGAAAATTTTAATTATTACGATTAATTGAAATACTTTAAAATTAAACATATAAATTAATGTACTTCTTAAATTAGTGAATATTTCTTAAAAAAATTATCATACTAAATGTTATGTTTAAAATTAAAAAAAAATCGAAAATGAAAAAGTACGAGAGAAAAAGCTCTGAAATATATCAAAGAATATAAAAGTTTACATTACTTTCAACAGAAACGAAAAAGACCAAGAAAAAAGAAAAGACCAAGAAGAAAATAAAAATGTATACTTTTTATAATTATACTAGCTATACGCAGTGTGCTTTAAAGCAATGTAAATAAAAAACACTTTACGATTTTGAAAATTCTAACTATAATAGTTTTCAGATATAAATTTTTTACATATTGGAGATGCCACTCAAATTATTGCAAGTTCGCCAATTTATCCAAATGTTAATTTAGATTTTAATGTAACCTATGAAAAATTTGAATATTATCATAATTTCCCAGATATATACATATATAAATTATATAATAATTATGTATATAACAATATTAATTTATATTACTTAATATAGCTTTGAACATAAAGAAAGAAAATCAACACTGATTTTTGACACAACAAGTCAGATTTGCTTTTTTTGTTTATTCTTAAGAAAGCTGGTACGTTCTTACGTAGAATTTAACTACACATAAACAGCCAACGGAACGTCACAGAACGGAAACGTTACGGAACTTTCAAACAAACTGAGACTTTATATGTGTTCGCACAAATGCTTAAGCTGACTTCCGTTAGTGTAAGCATATTATAGTAAGGCCTTAACTTTTGTCAATGAAAGCAGTTAATAATATTTATGCTGAAACTTTTTTCTGTGTAGTTAAATTTATAAAAGGTCTGTTCAATAATTAAAAGTTGTTACTAATTGTTATAAATTTTCACAAAAATATTTGGAATTTGTATTGAAATACATAAACAATGTGTGATAATTTGTAAAAATTTTTTGTTATTGAACAGATGGAAAATTAGTTTCGATCATGATACAACCCATGATGTAATATATATATATATATATATATATATATATATATATATATATATTTTGGTTTGACCCAGAAGTGTTTGGCGTCACTTCTTATTGAGAAAAACGAATAAGAAGGTTTAGATAAACTTTTCTCAAAATTTACGTGATAGATTTTTTTTAATTTTTCACACTAGATATTGACATATGTTTTCAACAAAATTATAGATTTACACACCGTTATGTAAAATTGAAAAAAAGTTAAGATATTAATGAAAATAAAAATTCGTGTTTTATGGTCTATATAAAATTTTTATTTTTGTTTTCCCTTTTTAGGGTCTATATCCATACAAAATGAGTATTTTTTATGCCCACCATCGAAAAAGATCCAAACGAAAACAGCTAGAAGGCTGAAATTTTTCACAAATATCACTATGCGACAAAAATAAATACCTGGGAAGTGATACTATTTTTCTGAAAGGTGGATCCGAGTAGAATATGTTTTTGAAATTTGCCAAACACCTTCAAAATCTTGAGTTACGGACAAAAAACCAGTTTTTCGTACTTTTAGGGCCAATATTTAGGTGAAAGATTAGCGATTAAATTAATCCTCGAAAAATGTTTTTGAGTACTCAATTAGTTAATTTTGTTTGCAAGTTTAAGCGCCCAATGGAGGTGGTTTAATCTTAAGCACGAAATGTAAAAGTGTAAACAGCTGATGCAAAAAAAATAATACAATTTTTATAAATATAAACATTAAAATGTTTTATTTTTTGATTAGTATAAATTATAGACACTTCAAAATACATTTTTTTGTTTTTAATTTAAGTTTTCATTAATTTTCATATTAAATTTACAATTGTCTTCTTCTTTTTTATAAAATATGCGTTGTTTTGATAACAAACAGTGACATTTTCTGTTGTTTTGTATGCAACACTGCGAAGTTTAATCTTGTTCTCAAAAACATCAAAGGGGATTAACATAAGATTTAATTTATTTTTAGATTAACTAATCTGATTATTAATTGGCATTTGATTATCATTTCAAAAACCCGCTCTTAAGCACTTATGAGTCAGTAATTTAGTTGAATCTGTACCGATTTTAAGTTTCTCCACGGATTTAGAAAGCAGAAGCTGAAGCTTTATAATGACATATATAATATTCAAGGAACCTGGAGAGATATGTTTGAGTTTAACCAGCAAACATATTTTTTATTTTAATTTTGCACCTTTGTCCAAGTTTGGAGATGTTTTATGAAAGTATTTTATATAGGAACCGTACCATTTATTAACTGATTAGAAACCCATGTTTATTCATGAGTGAAACGCAACTTTGTTACATAAATCGGTATAAATCAGTTTGCTGTAATCTTTAGTGTCCCCATACAAACCCTCCTTCAGAAGATGACTTCAATTCCATAATTCTTCTCTAAATATTAATATCACGATGAAATTCAGCATAAATAACTTTTATATAAACAATCCTTCCACCACATTTTTCGAGGATCGGTCCATATTTAACCCTATCCCCCATATAAAGTATCCTTCAGAAAATCAATTTATGAACAATTTTTTATTAAGAAAAAGATTTTGTATATATAAAAAACTTTCATAAAACATCTCCAAACTTGGACAACGGTGGAAAATTAAAATAAAAAATATGTTTGCTGGTTAAACTCAAACATATCTCTCCAGGTTCCTTAAATGTTATATATGTCATTATAAAGGCCTCAGCTTCTGCTTTCTAAATCCGTGGAGAAACTTAAAATCGGTTCAGATTCAACTAAGTTACTGACTTATAAGTGCTTAAAAGTAGGAAAAACCGGGTTTTTACCCGTAACTCAAGATTTTGGAGGTGTTTGGCTAATTTCAAAAACATATTCTTGTTCTACTCGGATCCACCTTTCAGAAAAATGGTATCACTTCCCAGGTATTGAAAATGGGCAGTATCTAAAAATATTAGTTACCTATTTCTATATCCCATAATACATTCGCAATCTGCTATGTTGGATGAACATTCTGATGGTGTTTTTATAGGTAGTAAATCTTCATCAAACATCCTAATGGCATGGAACTATAACAAAATGTCAGACAAACAATTAAATACCACTTAATTAATAATTTCTTCGGAAAAAAACTAAGCTGGTGATGAAAATTGAATTTTTTACTTCGGCACTCAAATTATTTATGAATTGTTGTTGTTTTATGTGCAAAATTTGCACTAAATTTGTAAGATGGTGTTATCAGACCAGCACATATTTTATATGTATACAAAAACTGTCAAATTATGTATGCTGAAAAATAACAATCAGTGTAATAGATCTGTCAAAATCCATATACAAATAATGTAAACAAGAGTTTTAAAAACACTTTGTTATGTGTGCTTTGATCTACGTTTTTGTTATGGCAGTGAAACAAAACAATAGTGATTAATTTGTTTTCAATTTTTGTATGAAAATTGTGGTCAAAACAATATTTATTTAGTCTTAAAATTGTGGATATAGACCAAAGTTAACACCCGATATCTCGGAAATCGTATCAAATACTGAAAAATGGGTTTCGGAATCGGAAAGAGTATGTCCAAATTATATACAATCCTCTCCTAACTCAATTTTTTATAACCACGAAAAATACCATGAAATTCAACGTCACACGCAAACAGCATTCCAAACTTTTGCATCCTGTTTTTGATTTTTATTGGCTTTGCAATCTTTTTTAATCAAATTATTCAATTTAAATTTTTCAGTAATATATATCTTTTAATTTTCTTTTTTGTGACAATTCAAGACATTTAAAATTGCGAACGTACTTTTCTACAGATATGGTTATATTATGGTTTCGATGAAGTTGTTCGTTAGAATTTTCTTTTTTTTTAAATTTTATATTAAATATTTCTTTATACTTTTGAATAAAAATTTTATTCAATTGCAGGAACTTCTGACAATGGTAAAAAAACGAAAAAGGAAAGTAAGTAACACTCAAATCTTATCGGGATTGTCAGGATCAGATACCAAATCCGATACAGATTATGAAAAAATGGAAGATAGCGTGGAAAAATATAAACACAAGAATATTGAGAATAAAATAGAAAATGTACAATTGCGTAAAAACGAACAGGAAGATGGGGAAGTTTCTGACTCTGAAGATGATTATACAAAAAAGGACAATTCAGAGATATCTGATATCAATTCTAATGAAATAGAGTCATGCTCATCCTCTGAGAGTAGTTCTGATTCCGAATTTGACGATGGTTACGACGAAAATTTAATGGGCGATGAAGCAGATCGCAAGAGACTATCATGTCTATCAGAAAAAGAACGTGAAACCGAAATATTTAAAAGAATTGAACAAAGAGATATTATGCGAACTCGTTGGGAAATAGAAAAAAAACTAAAGTTAGCAAGGAAAAGTGAAAAGGCAAAAATAAAGCCAAAAGATGGAAAAAAGAAGAAACTAAAATCCAAGAAAAAAGAAGAAAAAAAATATATTCATCAAGACAAAGAAAACTCATCAGAAAAGGAAAAAGAGGCTCCTAAACCTCAACATTCATTAGAAGCCCTAGAAAATATCCCAGAGAATGTTACATCATTATCTAGTGAACCGCTAATAAGATCTGTCTCAAGTGATGATCAAATTAGTGCATCTGCTGAATATTTTGATCACAAAGAAAGATCAAAGGAAAGAAAAAAAAATGTAGAAATGAATAGAACTGATGATAAACGTAGCAATGCAATGGCACTTTTAAAAGCCAAGCGTGAAGGAAAAGCAAAAAGAGGTATTTATATTTTATGTTATTCTACCTACATATTTATATAATTCGTTATATTATCTCATGATTCATTTTTGTGGAGAAATATTTTATTAACAAAAATCCATAATAAAATAAAATATTAATTTTTGTGGAGAAATATTTTGTTAACAAAAATCCATAATAAAATATTTTGTTTTTGAAAAGTCTGTTGCTGAGATATTGATATAAGACTACGTCTCTTTGTGTTTATTTATGTTTTACATACCTAAGCACGTAAGGCTTAGGCTGGTAAAATTATGGTTCCCATAGAACAGGGTCTATATGATGTAGTTTTCCGCAGATTACACACTGCTCTTATTGAGCTGTGTACACTAGAGGTTTCCAAAATATATCGAATTGGGTAAATAATAAGAATTTTTGATTACTTCAAAAATTGAAATTAAAATGATATTTTCTTAACTTTTTTATCAAATTTTATCTTCTATTATCTTCCAGTTATTTTTAGACACTAATAAACAAAATGAGACCCATCCAAGCAAAATATATATTTTTTGGACACCTCTACTATGCACTCAAGAGGTGTAAAAAAAACGATTTTGCTACGATGGCTCTTATTTTGTTCATATGTGTCTAGAACTAACTTGGGTAAAATTTTAGCAAAATCGGAACACGAGAACCCGTTCCGGAAATCGATTGAAAAGCGTAAAGTTGGGTAAATAATAAGACTTATTTTAAGTTCTTCAAAAGTGTGCCATTATAGTTTCTTAAAATTTCGATCAAATCTAATCTTCTAAAGACAATTATCTTTTCAACAAGGTATAAACATTTTTTTTGTGTATATATTTTTGTTTACATTACTTCTGCGTGCAAAACGAAGACCAAACAATGCAAAAAATTCATGATTTTTTGAATAAATGGCTTGGGGACATTGTCAATAACATTATTGTTTGTATAATATAAATGTTTTATACCTCGTTGGATAGATAATTTTCTTTAGATGATAAAGTCCTATTATTTGCCCAATTTTACAAGTTTCAATCTATTTCCGGCACGGGTTATCGTTATCCGATTTGACTAAAATTTAACACCAGTAATAAACAAAATAAGACCCATCTGAGAAAAATCATAAGGTGAAGTCAATTCTATAAAAACAACAAAAATATATACTTATGTCAAAAAATTCACATGTTGTTGATGTCCCTTGCATCCCACTAACTATCTACAAAGCTCCTAAAGGAAATGGTCTAAGCTTTCATTTGAGCAAAAAAAAAAAAAAAACAACAACAATTGAAAAAATAGTAATCTTGAGTCCTTAAAGGAAATTGTCAAAGCTTTGTTTTGACTGAACTCCTTTGGACAAATTTTTGAAAAGTTACACGCACTTGAATAAAACTCTGTATGGCCAAAATGTCCAACTTTGACCCCCTCTAAGTTCGGCAGTTCTGGACCATCCAATAGTACTAAAATTCTGTAATATTCCCGATGTTGCGAGGATTGGCCGTCTCTGCATCTAGACTTATACTTTGAGTTATAGAAACCTAACCTAACTGGTGGCACCACTGCTCTGAAGGGGAAACGACTTTTACACAAATTTTTTTACAAAAGTTTAGGCACTAAATTTATATTTTTAAATGCTAACAGCAAATAATTGGAATATGTAAGCAATTATTGTTCCAATAAAATATAAGACAAAAAAAATCGGTTAAAAATTGTAAAACTTATTACAAATTCCTCCGATCATTTAGGGCGGGTTTTTCTGATAAAGATAATCTACATTCTTTGTTTAAACCAAGTTTAATCTATATTTTGTGTTTTCAGTAATCAGTTACGTTACTTATTATCATAGCTTAACTCAGGGCGGGTTTCTTACTATTCATTTAAACTTGGCTTAACTTGCTGTTAGATTAAACTCGGAACAAATTTAGACGGACTTTAACCTATGATTGTGTTTTTCATTTATGGATTTAAGAGCAGTTAACTTTGTTAGTATTGCCAACTTTTCAGTCAAAAACATAAACAATGAATAGCTGTTTTTTTTTGCACATATCACTTTTGTAAAATTAAAAAATTTAGTGAAAATTAAAATTAACATTTAAAACAATATAATATTGATAAACAAATAAAAATTAAAAATTACTTTAAAAATTTTCTTCTTCCGAATTGATTATTTTATTGTTTTTGTTGAATCTGTTCTCTCACTTAGGTTTAATTGGCCAATAGCACTTAGATAAACTAAGATACTAAGTAACGTAACTGATTACTGAAAAACACAAAATATAGATTAAACTAGTTTAAACAAAGAATGAAGATTATCTTTATCAGAAAAACACGCCCTCAGTGTTATTGGCCAATAAAAGTTATAAATGAGAAAACACAATCAACAAAAGCAATAAAATAATTAATTCAGCAGAAGAAAAACTTAATTTTTTATGTAAAAGGTAATTTTTTGATTTGTTTTATCAATATTATTATTGTATTAAATGTTTATTTTAATTTTATCTAAAATTTTTCATTTTACAAAAGTAATATTTTCAAAAAACAACTGTTAATTGTTTATGTTTTTGACTGAAAAGTTGGCAGTACTGACAAAGTTAACTGCTCTTAAATCCATAACTGAAAAACACAATCATCTGTTACGGTAACAGTGTTACCCGTGTCTATATTATACAAATATTTATCACAGCACTTAACAAAACGTCGACAGAAAAATTGTAAATTTTTGTTTATGTTAATGCATAAGGGTAACAAAATGGTAATGATATTATCACGACTACCTACAGATAATTTTACTATAATAATGCTATATTTTATAGAAACAATTAAAATTAAATGAAAATTTTGTAAATAAAAATCGCTAAAAATCAATTTTAATTGCACAAAAACAAAATTCTATACAAATTTTACAATACAATGACGTTTGTTATCAAGACAACGTTTGTTTAGACAACACTGTCATAACGACGCTATAACGCTACTTAATGCAGTCTGTACCTGCTAATTTTTTATCATGATAACAATTTGACTTTTGGCATAATAAATATTTGTCTAATATAGGCATGGGGGTTAAACTAGGCTTAACTTGCTGTTAGATTAAACTCGGAACAAATTTAGGCGGACTTTAACCGATGATTGTGTTATCAGTTATAGATTTAAGTTCAGTTAACTTTGTTAGTATTGCCAACTTTTCACTCAAAAACTTAAACAATGAACAGCTGTTTTTTGCAAATAATACTTTTGTAAAATTAAAAATTTTGGAAAAATGTTAAATAAACATTTAAAACAATAATAAATAAAACAAAACAAATCAGAGTTCAAGAGAAGAGAATAAGAATAAGAAGCAAGAAACAAAAGCTCTGATTAAAATAACGAAAAATAAATATTAAACTGTTTAAAAAATAGAAAAAAGACTATTAAAACGTTTAATAAACCTAAACCAAATTGTGTATAAAATAATATTTATAAAATAAATAAGTTATTGGACAATAATTAAACAATAAAAAAATAACCAAAAATGACTGATTGCAGTTCATGCAAGTCAGTGATTAGAGGAGAAACGGGCATCAGATGTAATGGAGTTTGTGGAAAAATATACCACTGTACAAAAAAGTGTTCAGGAATCGATCAATATTCACTCGGGGTTCTAGAAGCAAACAACTTTATAAGATTTATGTGTGAGGACTGTATGCAGTATATTAGAAATGTTGATCTTGTCTTAGGAGAAATTCAAGATGGTGTAAGAATAAACAAACAAAACCTAAAGGAATACAAAAGGGAGTTCGAAACATCATTAAGACAAAATGAAATTAAACAACTTTTGCAAGCAATCGAGAAAAGGTACGAAGAAAGGCTTAAAATAATTGATAATACACAAAAAAACTGTGAAAAAAACGTTCAAGAAATTAAAAAACTTTACGGCACTATTAAAGACAACGAAAACAAAAACCAAGAACTGTGTAACAATATTGAACAAACAAATGTAAAAATGTGCAACGAAATAAAAAAAGTGATAAAAGAAACAAACGTCAAACAAAATAAGCTATCATTTTCTGATGCATTGAAGAAGAATATGGTGTTGCCAGAAGTAAAAAATCAGGTTCCGTTAATAATTAAACCAAAAGAAAAACAAAAAGTTGAAAAAACGAAAGATGATCTAAATAAAAAGGTAGATCCTGTTGATTTTAAAATTATAAATATTGAAAATAGAAAAAATGGTACACTAGTAATACAAAGTGAAAATATTAATGAACGCGAAAAAATAAAAACGGCGATTGAAACAAAAATGAGTGAAAATTATGAAATAAAAGTACCGAATGATGCTGAATTGTCAATTGTTATAACAGACATGAGTTTTAAGTATGAAAATAAGGAGTTAGTTGAAAAATTAAGAAAACAGAATATAATCCTAGAAAACAGTAAAATGGATGTAATAAAAATATACGAAACCAAAAGAAATAATAGAAATATATTTAATGCAAAAATAAAAATTGATAAGGAAACATATCCGAAAATATTATCAGCCCAAAAACTTAATGTAGGATGGGAAAAATGTAGAATATTTGATGGAACTAATATAATCCAATGTTTTAAATGTAAAGGCTTCAATCATAAATCCATAAATTGTACAAATGAGGAAGTTTGTTTTAGATGCAATGGAAACCATAAAACAAAAGATTGTAACGAGGAATATATTAACAAATGTATAAACTGTATTAGAAGTAATAAACGGCTAAATCTGGGACTTGATGAGAACCATGCAACAATAAGTAGAGAATGTCCAGTATATCAAAATAAACTAAACTTAAAAAAGAGAAGATTGGGACTAATAGATTAACAACCAAAGATAATAAAAGGAATGTATACAAATATTCAAGGCCTAACCAATAATTTCGACCAGCTGGAGGTAATAGCAAATACGGAGAACTTTGATTTTATAATACTAACGGAAACGCATCTAACGGACAAAATACATGAAAGTGAAATACAAATAGAAGGATATCAACAATATGCTACACTATCAAACTCTA